AAGGTTATAAAAATTAATATGATGAACCTTTGCCTTAATGTTCACCAAACGAAAGACATAAGCCTCGCAATTCGCAATATAATATTTTCGATAATTTGATCCTCGAAAACTTTTTCGTGTCGCATCCTAGATTAAATCACAGCAGTAATTATCGGTGGTGCTCACTGAAGAGCTAATAAAGCACCAATCAGAATAATTTTTTCCGAGATAAATTTTCACGGTTCGGACTTGGTAAAAGTAAAATCAAAATTTTGGTCGAAATTTTTTATTGAATTTCAGGAGTTCTGATGCGTTTTCTTATGGCCCCCGTAAGAGTTATAAAAATTAATACAATGAACCTTTGCCCTAATGTTGACCAAACTAAAGATATAAGCCTCGAAATTTGCAAAAAATATTTTCGATATTTTGATGCTCGAAAACGTTTTCGATTCGCATCCTACATTAAAATACACCAATAATTATCGGTTGTTCTCGCTGAGGAGTCATTGAAGCACCAATCAGAATATTTTTTTTCGAGATAAATTTTCACGGTTCGGACTTGGTAAAAGTAACATCAAAATTTAAAATTTTTTTATTTTTTTTTTTATTTTCATTATTGTAATGGAATTTACAACTGTATTACATAGAAAATACAATAAGTTAATGTGAAATTGGTAACATGACATGTACAACATGAAGAGAAACTACCCATTGGTAGAACTCAAATTAAAGTTCTATATTAGAAGATCCTTAGGCCATCTTGTTTTCAGACGCCTCGGAGGGTTATCAGGGATCGAGGAGGAAGCAAGGTTTGAAACGAGAGGATTCGAATGGTTCTGCAGTTTGTTATGGAAGGACAGGTATCTGGATTGGGCCAAATCGGAAACATATGGAACATTAAGGTCTTTATGGATGATTTTATCTGTGACAAAGTGAGGAGCGTTGAGGATTTTACGAAGGATCTTGTATTGTAAGGATTGGATACGAGAGGAATTCGATGGTTTAGTGGAGACACAAAGCTCAATTCCGTAAGTCCAAATAGGTCTTATTATTGTCATTTATACGAGTCGTTTATAATTGATTGAAAGCTTAGATCGTTTGTCTAGTAAGTGCTGCAGTAGTCGAAAACGTCGGGCGGTTTCTAGTCGTTTCAGTCTGGTATGGGGATTCCAAGTGAGTCGTATGTCAAGGTGGAGTCCTAAGTATCGGATTTGTTCGACAGTTATAAGAGGGCTATTGTTGAAGGATACTGTAGGACAGGAAGTCATAGGTTTACGACGAAGAGTGAAGGTTATTTGATGGGATTTATTTTAATCCTCCAGTTTTGACGCCAGTTTTCAAGGCTTGTGATGTGTGATTAAAGAGTTTGCGATGCAATAGATGGATCGTTATTAACAGATAGGATACACGTATCATTGGCATAGGTGGTGATGGCAGTGTTGGATTGGGTTGGGATGTCAGCTGTATAAACTGTGTAAAGCATAGGACCTAGGATACTACCTTGAGGAACACCGGCACTTTGTACAAGTAACATCAAAATTTCGACCGAAATTTTTTCTTGAAATTCAGGAGTTCTGGTGAGTTTTCCTATGGGCCCCCTAATAGTTATAAAAATTAATATTTTGCCCTAATGTTGACCAAACAAAAGATATAAGCCTCGAAATTTGCAAGAAAATATTTTCGATAATTTGATTCTCGAAAACTGTTTCGTTTCGCATCCTAGATTAAATCACAGCAGTAATTATCGGTGGTGCTCGTTGAAGAGCTAATAAAGCACCAATCAGAATAATTTTTTTCGAGATAAATTTTCAATGTCCGGACTTAGTAAAAGTAACATCAATATTTTGGTCAAAATTTTTTATTTAATTTCAGGAGTTCTGATGAGTTTTCTTATGGCCCCCGTAAGAGTTATAAAAATTAATACAACGAACCTTTGCCCTAATGTTGACCAAACTAAAGATATAAGCCTCGAAATTTGCAAAAAATATTTTCGATATTTTGATGCTCGAAAACGTTTTCGATTTGCATCCTACATTAAAATACACCAATAATTATCGGTTGTGCTCGCTGAGGAGTTATTGAAGCACCAATCAGAATAGTTTTTTTCGAGATAAATTTTCACGGTTCGGACTTGGTAAAAGTAACATCAAAATTTCGACCGAAATTTTTTCTTGGAATTCAGGAGTTCTGATGAGTTTTCCTATGGTCCCCCTAATAGTTATAAAAATTAATATGATGAACCTTTGCCCTAATGTTGACCAAACAAAAGATATAAGCCTCGAAATTTGCAATAAAATATTTTCGATAATTTGATGCTCGAAAACTTTTTCGTTTCGCATCCTACAGTAAAATACACCAATAATTATCAGTTGTGCTCGTTGAGGACCTAATAAAGCACCAATCAGAATAATTTTTTTCGAGATAAATTTTCACGGTTCGGACTTGGTAAAAGTAACATCAAAATTTTGGTCGAAATTTTTTATTGAATTTCAGGAGTTCTGATGAGTTTTCTTATGGCCCCCGTAAGAGTTATAAAAATTAATACAACGAACCTTTGCCCTAATGTTGACCAAACAAAAGATATAAGCCTCGAAATTTGCAAAAAATATTTTCGATAATTTGATGCTCGAAAACGTTTTCGATTTGCATCCTACATTAAAATACACCAATAATTATCGGTTGTGCTCGCTGAGGAGTTAATAAAGCACCATTCAGAATAATTTTTTTCGAGATAAATTTTCACTGTTCGGACTTGGTAAAAGTAACATCAAAATTTCGAACGAAATTTTTTCTTGGAATTCAGGAGTTCTGATGAGTTTTCCTATGGGCCCCCTAATAGTTATAAAAATTAATATGATGGACCTTTGCCCTAATATTGACCAAACTAAAGATATAAGCCTCGAAATTCGCAAAAACAAATTTTCGATATTTTGATGCTCGAAAACTTTTTCGTTTCGCATCCTACAGTAAAATACACCGATAATTATCGGTTGTGCTCGTTGAGGACCTAATAAAGCACCAATCAGAAACATTTTTTTCGAGATAAATTTTCACGGTTCGGACTTGGTAAAAGTAACATCAAAATTTTGGTCGAAATTTTTTATTGAATTTCAGGAGTTCTGATGAGTTTTCTTATGGCCCCCGTAAGAGTTATAAAAATTAATATGATGAACCTTTGCCTTAATGTTCACCAAACGAAAGACATAAGCCTCGAAATTCACAAAAAAAATATTTTCGATAATTTGATGCTCGAAAACTTTTTCGTTTCGCATCCTATATTAAAATTCACCAATAATTATCAGTTGTGCTCACTGAGGAGCTATTAAAGCACCAATCAGAATACTTTTTTCCGAGATAAATTTTCACGGTTCGGACTTGGTAAAAGTAACATCAAAATTTCGACCGAAATTTTTTCTTGTAATTCAGGAGTTCTGGTGAGTTTCCCTATGGGCCCCCTAAAGGTTATAAAAATTAATATGATGAACCTTTGCCTTAATGTTCACCAAACGAAAGACATAAGCCTCGCAATTCGCAATATAATATTTTCGATAATTTGATGCTCAAACTAAAGATATAAGCATCGAAATTTGCAAAAAATATTTTCGATATTTTGATGCTCGAAAACGCTTTCGTTTCGCATCCAACATTAAAATACACCAATAATTATCGGTTGTGCTCGCTGAGGAGTTATTAAAGCACCAATCAGAATAGTTTTTTTCGATGATAAATTTTCACGGTTCGGACTTGGTAAAAGTAACATCAATATTTTGGTCGAAATTTTTTTTTTAATTTCAGGAGTTCTGGTGAGTTTCCCTATGGGCCCCCTAAAGGTTATAAAAATTAATATGATGAACCTTTGCCTTAATGTTCACCAAACGAAAAATATAAGCCTCGCAATTTGCAAAAAAATATTTTCGATATTTTGATGCTCGAAAACTTTTTCGTTTCGCATCCTACATTAAAATACACCAATAATTATCGGTTGTGCTCGCTGAGGAGCTATTAAAGCACCAATCAGAATAATTTTTTTCCGAGATAAATTTTCACGGTTCGGGCTTGGTAAAAGTTTTTTATTTTCATTATTTTAATGGAATTTACAACTGTATTACATAGAAAATACAATAAGTTAATGTGGAATTGGTAACATGACATGTACAACATGAAGAGAAACTACCCATTGGTAGAACTCAAATTAAAGTTCTATATTAGAAGATCCCTAGGCCATCTTGTTTTCAGACGCCTCGGAGGGTTATCAGGGATCGAGGAGGAAGCAAGGTTTGAAACGAGAGGATTCGAATGGTTCTGCAGTTTGTTATGGAAGGACAGGTATCTGGATTGGGCCAAATCGGAAACATATGGAACATTAAGGTCTTTATGGATGATTTTATTTGTGACAAAGTGAGGAGCGTTGAGGATTTTACGAAGGATCTTGTATTGTAAGGATTGGATACGAGAGGAATTCGATGGTTTAGTGGAGACCCAAAGCTCAATTCCGTAAGTCCAAATAGGTCTGATTATTGTCATTTATACGAGTCGTTTATAATTGATTGAAAGCTTAGATCGTTTTTCTAGTAACTGCTGCAGTTGTCGAAAACGTCGGGCGGTTTCTAGTCGTTTTAGTCTGGTATGGGGATTCCAAATGAGTCGTTTGTCAAGGTGGAGTCCTAAGTATCGGATTTGTTCGACAGCGATAAGAGGGCTATTGTTGAAGGATACTGTAGGACAGGAAGTCATCGGTTTACGACGAAGAGTGAAGGTTATTTGATGGGATTTATTTTAATCCTCCAGTTTTGACACCAGTTTTCAAGACTTGTGATGTGTGATTAAAGAATTTGCGATGCAATAGATGGATCGTTATTAACAGATAGGATACACGTATCATTGGCATAGGTGGTGATGACAGTGTTGGATTGGGTTGGGATGTCAGCTGTATAAACTGTGTAAAGCATAGGACCTAGGATACTACCTTGAGGAACACCGGCACTTTGTACAAGTAACATCAAAATTTCGACCGAAATTTTTTCTTGAAATTCAGGAGTTCTGATGAGTTTTCCTATGGTTCCCGTAAGAGTTATAAAAATTAATACAATGAACCTTTGCCCTAATGTTGACCAAACTAAAGATATAAGCCTCGAAATTTGCAAAAATTATTTTCGATATTTTGATGCTCGAAAACTTTTTCGTTTCGCATCCTACAGTAAAATACACCAATAATTATCGGATGTGCTCGCTGAGGAGCTAATAAAGCACCAATCAGAATAATTTTTTTCGAGATAGATCTTCACGGTTCGGACTTGGTAAAAGTAACATCAAAATTTTGGTCGAAATTTTTTTTTGAATTTCAGGAGTTCTGATGAGTTTTCTTATGGCCCCTCAAGGAGATTGAATAATGATCTTAATAAACTTTTGTTCTAAAATTAATAATTGAAGATTTATATATCTGTGAAGTTGCACAAGAGGGGTTTCAGTTTTTCATAACTTTGCGTGATATTTTTGGTAGTATAAACAATGGAATATGTTTTTAAATACCAGAGAACTCTGGAACTATTTGGAGGGGGGGCTATTAGTACTCCAAAAATAATTTTAATATTTTCACTGTTGGGGAGCCGCCTTTTAGTATGGGCCTATATTTAAATTTTGTTTAGAGTTTTGATAGCCCCCCAAGACATTTTTACAATTATCTCTTTGTAGTTTAGTTGCAAAGTTAATATTAAAAGAGTTACAAAACTCGTAAGTACACAAAACGGGATTTCCGTTTTTCGCAACTTTGTATGGTATTTTCCGAGGTTTAAACAATAGAACTATTTATAAAAATGATAGGGAACTCTAGAACTCTTAGAGGGGCTATAAGAACTCTCAACATTTTTAAAAAAAGTTGAGGATGGTGGGCCAACTTCACTGAGGTCCCCACACCCGAATATCTATCCGTTTCAGAACCTGTAGAATAACATATTTAAATTTTATATTGCACGTTTTACCGTTATTTTCTTAAATTGCACGGTTTTGATTTTTTTTTGCATTAAATTTCACATGTTTGTACATTTTTACTAGACTAAATGATATATATTTATAAATATATGTACATTAATTTATATATATATATATATATATATATATATATATATATATATATATTTTTTTTTTTTTTTTTTTTTTGGTTGGATCTACAGACCTTGTAGATCTTTGGCCGGCTGAACAAGCAAGCCTTCTCCATTTCTGCCTATCTTGGGCTATTGCTTTCCAGTTTGCGGCATGAAGCTCAACGGTATCTTTGTTTATCCTATCTATCCATCTGGTTTTTGGCCTTCCACGTGGTCTCTTGCCTACTACTTTGGCATTCATTGTTGTGTAAAGGCGTCCTGATCGATTGCTACGAGCTACATGACCTTCCCATCTTAACCTCCATGCCTTCATGTCATGAGATATTGAGTGACCCGTTTCTTTTACAAGTTCCTTCTCCTCCATGTGTCAAGATTCTAGTCACATATAGGTCCTGTTATCTTACGTAGGACATTTCTTTCGAAATACAGCAGAACTGGCTTAATCACAGCGTTGTACACTCTTATTTTTAGATTTCTGAAGATTTTTCTGGATTTCAGTACCCTTGAAAGAGAGAAGAAATCTTTTTATTCGCTGGTCTATCTCTGTTAGTCGATCATTTATTGAGGTTGTTGAGGAGCTGAGGTATTTGAATCTGCCTCCTTTCGGGAATGGCTTTAAGAGTTCACGCAGATCATGTTATTAATGTGGATATTTCGGCTAACTATCATGTATTTTGTTTTATCTACATTGACTTGTAGTCCGATTTGCTCCGCTTCTTGTAGTCTCTCAATATCCTCTTCATTCCTTCCGAGGACAGCTATATCATAAGCATATGGTAGAGGTTATGTTTCATTCCGATGTGCATCCCGGGTATGCACCGCCCCTCCATCTTCCAGGTTTCAGATACTTCTCCTTGTATTAGTACCCTGCATTTAGGATCATTTGTACACGCCTGCGTTAATCTCATTAACTTCCAGAGAATACCCACCTCACTCATGATCAACCACAGACAGTTTCTGACCCCGGAGTCCATAGGCTGTTTTGAAATCGACAAATAAGGCGTGCAATTTCTGATCTATTTCTCATAGTTTTTTAAGTACATGTTTTAGTGTGAATATCTGATCTAGCCTAGCTTGGCTCTGAGGTTTTTTCCCCCATCCTTGTACAATTCTGATGGTAGGTTGTCTATCCCTGAAGCCTTTCTTCTTTTAAGCCTGCCAACAGCTATTTCCCCATCCAGAATATCTGGTTTTCAACCTGAAGTGGGTCGATGTCCTCAGTGTGGTGCATGTCTTCTTCGTTTGTGGAGTGCCATTGATTAAGCAGCTGCTGGAAGTGTTCCTTCCAGATGCTTATGATTTTTCTTTTAATGCCGTCAATTTGCTATCTTTCTCTCTCATTTCTGTATTTCTCGCTTTATATCCTACCCTTTCTTTCTGGATATCTGCGAAAGATTCGCATATATTTCCAGCCTGTCAGTTTTCCTCAATAGTTTGTAATCTTTCTTTAACAGCTCTTGATCTGTATAAGCTCCGAACATTCCATGATCCGATATGGAGTCCGTTATGCAGACTAGCTGGAGTCGTTACCATGTTAAGACAGTCAGATTTTCCTAGGCTTATTTTTGGTTTCCTGATATGGAGTTTTTGACATGATAGGGTTATTAGCCTTATGCCTAACCCCCAACCTGGAGGACCAGGAGCTATGTCTGCCACAGGGTCACTCACCTCCCTGCGGTGTGAATTGCCTCCAGTAGACTGACAGGTCTCACATACCCGAGGGGGGGAGAGTCAACTCGGGCAATGTGTCTTTCCCTGGTGAACGGTCACCCAAATCGGGCGATCGTCACCCATCTAAGTTCTAATCACGCTCGACGTTACTTAAATTTGATTATCTATTGCAAACGCCTCAGTCCGTACGGCTACCTGGCTATATATATGTTTGTGTGTGTGTAAATATTGACTTTTACATAACTGTTTTGTCCATATTAAATTTATAATTTAAGAAAGAAAAATATGAAGAAAGAAAATGATTCTATGACTGGTAAGGATTCGAATTTAACGTTACAAAAGAGGAAGTAAACGCAAGTGCAGACTAATCGGAGGAATAAAAATTGCTTGAAGTAATTCTCACTCTTTCTTGAGTCCTTCAGTATCCCTTCCAACTTTGAAGTGAATTGCAGTGTCAATCGTGAATTCGGTATCAATAATATCCGATTTGACATTTATAAAATCAAATTTGTCAAATTTTCCACAAACATTATTACATCGGTTGGAATCTCGAATTTTTTTACTTAACAAATTGAAATTATAGAAACTATAGGAGATAATTTAAGAAAAAATAAATAGTGAAACAAGAAAAATTATATCTCAAAACTTTTACTCCGTAAATGAGAAAAATACAGGTTAAGCTCTTATAAAAAAATATAGCGACACCATTAACAGCATATGTTGATAAAGAATCTGCAGTGGCTGGTTGATACAAAATGAGTCCATTTATGTCAGTTCATGTCGAACGTTCTTTTTCTCAATCAAAAGACGTATTAAGTGATATGAGAAACTCTTTTGCAGAAACAAAGAACGAAATTGGTTTTGATATTGTAAATTTTAATTCGATTAAAAATAAATTTTTCATTATAATATGGACAATTTATAATTATGTATGTACATATATTATTTTAATTAAAATTAAATAACTGAAATCAATTGGTCTGGTATATATAATATGTACTTGTCCTTCATACCTTTAATCTTTTTAAGTTCTTCTACATAACTTTCTTGTATGTGCCAGTCAATTAACCAATTAAAGGGAAATTTAATTAATTAAAATGTAATAATTACATAGGTGTCTAACAGCGAAATCGTGGCATTTTTACATTCATGATACGGAAAATCACTATTTAAAACTTAAAGCGGAACTGCATAGCAGGTACTACCGGCTCAGCAATCAGCTGATATACATAGCAACCAAGAGACAGCCATGTCAAGTAGATTCAACTATTATTATGCTAAAGGTCCGAATACAGGAACGGGGGGGGGGGGAGGTTAGTACCCTTCAACACACAGAACCAATGCAGACGTTGTCCCGTTGATTGACATAACAACAAGTGACCACATACTTTTCGTTAAGTCCGGTTCTGGAAACGTTAAATCTACTTTGCGTTCTTCCATGGAAGTATAGACCTCGAGGCTACAGAATATGTGAAGTTCAATGTGTGCAATACCACCTCATATGTCTTAGAAAATGTAAAGTTGAGAATTATCAAAATGTATATAACATTACATACTTGGACTATCGCAGCAACATCTTTTTTTAATGGCAGCATACAAGTCAGCCCTATTTACATTTATAAGGCACATAACAAGATCGACACCACCTCTACTCGTAGCTTTTTGAATTTCGTCTAAATAGTGGGCTATCGTTTCACCTCTAGTAATATACCTAGAACAATCCAAACAGTTAATAAACAAAATTTTTAACTAATAATAAGGTTTAATCAGTGGTATTTCTCAGTATTTATTAGTTTTGGAAATAAAGACTTCACAAATCAACACAAAAATAATTATCAAATACTAATAATAAATTAATACTAATAACTTTTCTGTTGAGAAATATTTAAAACAAATTATATTCATTTGATGGTGGAGATATTGTTGACTTTTGATCAAATAATAGTTATAATAATAGTTATCTAGTCCATTCACAGCTTGATACATTACTCAAACCGAAAGCTCTCCTTAATCCAGTCTAGTCTGGTTTCTCATCCCAATATTCCTCTTTATCAGCTTTGGTAAAAATTATCCAAAACATCCAATCCTCCATAGACCAACAGAAAATTACTACCCTCATTCTTTTTCATAATCATTCAACTTTGTTAATCACAATATTGTCTTTTCAAAATTCTCAAAACCTTCCCATATCAAATAGATTTTGAAAGAGTTCGCATCCTTATTTTTAATAGTTGGTTGGGGGTGCGATCTTTTTTTTATTAAAAAAACACTTTATTCAGAAATATTACAATTTGTCACAGTTAAGGACACTTATAATAGAGTTCAGAGATTGCATTCATACCGTATATACAAAAATATAAATAAATAAAGGAATAACAAAAGAATAAGAAGAAAGAACAAAAGAGTAAAGAAAAAAAATAATATATATACACATAAGTAAATAAAAATAGAAATAAAAGTAAAACAAACACCTTATATAAAACATACATTATTTACAATTTGCCAGGTGATCTCCGAACCAATCCTGTCCCCTCCACATGTGGAGGGAAAAGGGAGGCTTAGGAGATCCCTACGCTTCTCCCTCAGCCACTTCACTGGTATTTTAAACCAGCGGAGGATGAGTAAGAGCGCTACAGCCACAGACACTCATGACTTGAGTGGAGAATCTGGCCATTGCTAGAACTCCAAAATATCCATATTTACAAAAGGTCTCGTGGCCACTGCCGCTTTAACCTACGAAGGGGATTGTAGGGATGGGTGATGCTTGATAGGGATTGTACAACGGGATTTGGGTGATGAGAAAGGTTCTGGTGAAATTTGGAAAATTTGGCTGGGATAAGATCAAGAATAAATGGGATATTAAGGTCATGATGTAGGGTTTTATTGGTTACATAGAAGGGAGCATTGACTATTGTACGGAGGACTTTAGCCTGAAAGGATTGAATGCGTTTGATGTTAGAAAATTTGGCTGTTCCCCATAGTTCTAGTCCGTAAGTCCAGATGGGTTTCAGTATTGTCTTGTAGATCAGTAATTTGTTTTCACCAGAAAGTTTAGATTTTCTATTCAGTAGTCTATATAGCTGGCCATATCGTCTGTTAAGTTCCTGTCTTTTAAGTCGAGTATGTGGATTCCATGTTAGTCGTCTGTCTAAGAGAAATCCAAGATACCGGACTGTATCTGAGAAAGGAAGCTGGATGGAGTTAAAATAAACTGGTGGGCAGGTATTACGCCGAAGGGTGAAGGTAATGTGTTTACATTTAGATTCGTTTACCTTAATGCGCCATTTCTTACACCAGTGTTCAATCAGGAAGAGGTGCCTTTGTAAGTTTGCGGACGCTGTTTCAGGATCTGAGTTGGAAGAAAGGATAGCAGTGTCATCAGCGAAAGTTGCCAGGAGGGTATCGGGATGGACAGGAATATCAGCGGTAAAGAGAATGTAAAGGATGGGGCCCAAGACGCTGCCTTGAGGAACTCCAGCCTCAATTGAGTAACAGTCGGAGAATTCGGTGCCACAGCGAACTCGGAAGGAGCGGTCGGAAAGATAGGATCGGAGTACTAGGTATAAGGACTGTGGTAGATGGATTTTAAGCTTGAAGAGTAATCCGGCGTGCCATACCCGGTCAAAAGCTTGCGCTATGTCCAGAAATGGGGGGTGCGATCTAAGGCCAAAATACACACAACTAAAAATCTTTAATGAAATAAAAATAAAGTGTTTTTTACTTTCAATAAATTATGTTTATTTATTTTTTTTTTTTGTTCTCTCCTTCCTTGTCTTTAAGGCAACACGGGGTTTTTCCCGGTCCGAGGGAAGTGGCGGAGGAATTATGCCGAGTTAAAATTCCCACCGGGTACCGGGATTTGAACTCATAATATTTTTACTTTCACTTAACTATATATGTGATATATATTGCGATTGTGAAAATTTTGGAATCTGAATTTTCAACGGACCGTGAGAACGGCAAATGCAGTGAGAGCAGTGGTTGCTCGAATCAGAATAAATCCCATTTGAAAAGAACAAATCATGTTTTGGGAAATATTAATTTCTATCAGATCAATGTCTCGCTTAGTAAAAAGTGACTTAAGGATGGGTGCATTTCGAAGAATGATAGAACAAAGATAACCACTTCCCTAAAAAAAATTAAAGTGCATAGATGCAAAGTTCTTCTTGGCCGTTACACCAATGGTCTTCATCGAAATATTTTGTTTAGAGATGAGAAAATGTTCGCGATTGAAGAAAAATTAAATCGCCAAAATGATCTTGTGTGCACAATCAGCTCTAAAGAAGCCAAAGAAGAGTGGAAAGAGGTCATCACCCTTACTCAATGATGTACTGTACAACTGAAATACAACTGGAAGCAGATTCCTTCGCCCCAGAAACGTCCTTTCTGTTCGTCTTTTGCAGATTGCAGCAATTTCATCCATATATAATATAAATATCAGCGGGCTTAAACTATCACCTTGTTTGACCCCCTTATCTATGCTAAAATAGCGAGATTCCTGTCCATTCAGTCTGACTATTCCTTTTGGATTTTGGTATATGGATTTAATGGCCTCAACCAGGCTTCTAGGAACATTTTTTACTCTTAGTGTTTCCCATATTTGGTTTCTTGGGACTGAATCAAATGCTGCTTGAAGGCCGAGGAAGGCTAAGTACAGATTTTTATCATTATCCCATGATTTTTGCATTATATTCCTGAGGGTGAATATATGATCCTGTGTCTGACGCCCTGGTCTGAAACCAGCTTGCTCTTCTCCTACGAACAGTTCCACTAGAGGTCTCAGTCTATTGTGCAGGATGTGTATAATTTCGCAGTCGCAAGGTGCTTTAATGCGATTAGGAAAGGGTTTTCAGGAAAGAAAGAGGTCCCAAAACTGAAAAAAAAAAAATAACAGTCTTCAAAACGCCTTTCTACTGGACTTACTCCAGCGAGTCTTGGGCCTTAACGGGTAAACATAGGGCCAACTCTATGCAATGGAGGATCGAAGATAAAACAAGGAAAGACCGAATGAGAAATATCATCAGCCGAGGTGGTTTGGACACGTCTCTAGAATGCCAGAAGACAGAATAGCAAGGCTCTTATATGATACACAGGTGGGACTCAAACGCAACACCAAGACGAGACCAAGGCGGTGTTGGTCTTGGTCTTGCGTCAACAAACCTTGGTCTTGGTCTTGGCCTTGCGCACTCGGTCCTGGTATTGGTCTAATTCTTGCAGTTACCTATCAGCTTATTACTATTTATTAAATATGTTACTTTAAATCTTAGAAAAACGCTAAAAAATAAGTACATTTAGATGTTTTATTGACGTAAACATAGTAAAGTGCAACTAGATCAATAAAATGAAGAATGAAGAAAGATAGTGATAATAAATTAATAAATTGAGCCAAAAAAAACAAAAAAAAAAAACATTTAGTTTGCTCATGGGGAACCGTTTTACATTGTGGGTAATTTTGGAAGTTCCTCTACTCGTGTGCATTTCCTATACTGCAAATTTTTCTATTCCATCCATTCTTTGAAAAAGATCAATAATTAACAAAATATAGTTGCCACCGTTGACTTGAGGCCCTTGGCAATTAATATTTGTCGACTTTTCTCAATTCCTGTTTACGGAGAGGTAAACATGATAATATCCAGGGGTGCCCACAGAGTGTAATTGCCTAATGTATTGTGCCTTTAATATTCTCGAGAAACAAACCAATATTATATCTACTATATTTTAAACTAACATTGATATAGCATCTCATAAACATACACATTAATTACATAAGTGAGAGGGGCAATAATATTTTTTCTGGGAGGGGCCCATACACAATCGGCCTTTGTGGCGATGGGCACCCCTGATAATAACTATTCTGACTCAATTAACAATAAACGTGAATGTAGTTTTGTGTCATACGTTATAATGGATACGTTAGTATCCTCTACATGAAAGACCAACTCTTGAAAATTTACAATGATTACCTGGAGGGTGGTTCCTTTCCGAGCACATGGAAGATTGCCGACTTGAGAATGATCTACAAGGGAGGAGACAGGGATTATCAGCTACCTAAGTCATACAGGACTATATGCCTCCTTCCTATTATGAGTAAAGTCCTGAAGCACCTTGTTCCTATTATGTTAGTAAGTCTAAGACTAGTCGTAACGAGTGCGAGCCATCCATGAGAATACGGTTCAACGAAGGGTAGGGTAACCGCTGATGCACTGCTGAGAGTACGCACAGATGTTGTACAAAAGGAGGACCGATATGTCATGGTGCTGCTCTTGGACATTTCCTCCCCTTTTGACAGCGTCTGGTGACCGCATGTGCTCCAGCAGCTGAAGAGATACGGTACTCCTAGCAACTTGTATTGCCTTGTAAGAAGCTACCTACAGGACAAGAGAGTGAAGGTTCGAGGAAGTTCCTATGAGGTAGAAACCTCCGTAGATAGGGGCAACAGGGATCAGTCCTTGGTCTAGCTCTATGAAAACTGGTTTTTGGCGAGTTGCTGTGTGTCTTAGAAGAAGAGCGGTTCCCAACTACTGCTTACGTGGACGAATTGGACACAGTTGTGGCTTCCAACAGTAGAGCCGGTCTAAAGTTTGAGGCAGAACGGTAAGCCAACCTTGTGACGAGATGGTGTGGGAGGAAAAAGCTGAAGATGGTCCCTGCAAAAAGCGCAGGCCATACTACTGAGATGGAAAATTGAGAGGGCCCATCCTATCATGCTAT